AAGACACAGCCACGAGGGCTAGACAGGGACACCTGCCCAGCCAAGTTTGCCCAGCCTCCAGCAATGCTTGACGATCTCTACCGGCATTCTTGAGGCACTTGAGGCCTCGGAAGGTAAACCGGACGAACTCATGTCGACTCCTCAACTCTGCCCCAAAGACAAAACAATATCATCAGGCCCTCCCTGGAAGAAAGGAATCTCCGCTAAACAGGGACACCCTCAAAAACAATACGGGGGGTTTGCTCAGGGGTCGACATTATGTATGTATGCCTACTGGCATGGTTGGGTTGCTTGTGTGGGGTTGTGTCTTCTCATGGTTGCTTGTGTGGGGTTGTGTCTTCTGCCCTGCTCATTTGCCCATCTCCTCAATCAGCGGGGGCCATGATTCATATTTTGCCTCTTAGGCTTGGTCGGGAAGTTCTTGTCCAAAGGGTTGAAACTCGGGCGCTTCTTGTTTTGGTAGTTGAGTTGGAAGGCTTTAAAACAGGATAAATGGGGTCACCGCCGGAGGTCTGCAGAAAAGTTGAAGGTCGAACCGATCACCTTTGACCCGGGGAAGGTGGTGGGAAAAGGTTGTACTCACCAAATGACTTTTGGCAACCAACCAGAATCCCCCTCTCCTCCAATTTCCCGCAAAATTCTTACGCAATCACCGGGATTTCTGCAGTGGGGCCCCTTGAGGCCATGAATGTTGCTTGCGATCCTGCTGAGAACTCACCAGGCTGTCGCTGGTTTCAGCTGGATCTCCTTGTTTCTCTTTGTGTCACCTAGTGCCGCGTGATGCAACTTCAGGTGGTGTACCTGAGTTGCCCCGTTCCCAATGAGCAATCCAGAAAGCCTCTGCTGCGTTTCCACTCGCTGTGTACGTTCAGCGGGCGCCAGTTTAGAAATGAGGAAAACCTGACATAAAACAAACATGTAGAATTCTAAGATTCCCGTGCAAGCCAGCACCCCCAATAAGGAGAAAGGACGCGAATACATTACTTCCCTTGTACCAAGGAAAGATGGGAAGGAACCGCCCCGTGGGGGCCATGCATTCGCTAGGGGCGGCCCTCACGAGTTGCGGTGGAGTCGACCACTCAACCGCGAATAACTGGTACGCGCACGTGTTGTCGGTGTTTAAGGGCAATCAAAACGGAAACCAAGCACTTTGGATCTCCAAACCCCTCATTTTCAGACAAGCCGAGATTGGGCTAGCGGAATCTGACTTTGACTTCCCTTAGGGGAAACCAAACGCAAAGCGAACAAACGATGAACGTCCCAAGTCCCTTCACCCCACTCGCCCACCAACCCCGTCGCGCGTCGCCCGCTCGGATTGGGGCCATAATGGACTTCCACCAAGAAGAGGTCGGACTTCTCCTGCGGGGTTTCCTGTGGAAGTCTTGGGGTTTGGGGAAAAGTGAATGACAAAAACATGAACAGCATTGTGTTTCTGAAACATCTTTTGGAGCCGTTGAAGCACACTTTGCGTGATATTCGCCGCAGCAAACCGATCAAATCCCCCCTGGAACCGGTCAACTTCCCCTCTAGAAGCCACTCAATTTCCCTCTGAACCGGTCCAACTTTGGTCAAATCCCCCTACAAGCCGATCAAATCCCCCCTTGGACCCCCTCTAGGAAACCAATCAAATCCCCTCCGACTCACTCAGACAAACACAACACTTCAAGGCAAACCAAAACACAGTACTTCAAAGCCAGCCGAAAGCATTCTGCAACGCGAAGCATTTACAATTCAAAAAAAAGAACGAAAGAAAGAAAGAAAAACAGGAAAACAAAACACAACAATAACGAAAGACACGAAATAAATAACTAAACAACATAAATAAATATACAAAAGACAAACAGACAAACAGACAAACAGAAAGCAAGAAGATAATGCATAGAAATTCTGATAAATGAATGGACGAATCGACAGATTAGTTAGATAGATAAACAAATAGCTATACAAACAAATAGATAGACAGATGGGTGGATGGATGTACGGATTCGTAGATGCACAAATGGGTACATAGAGAGACAAGTGGATAGGTAGATGAATAGATGTACAGGTAGATGCATGGATGAAAAGGTAGATGTCATTTGCGCCCAGGAACACTGATCAACCCCCATACCAACCATGTGCTTCCAAAGATCCTAGCTACTTAGCTCCCTCTTAGGCCAATTTGGATGCCCCAGCCCCAGACGGTTCCCTATCCCCCCACGGGTTGAAATCCACACCAACCACCCTCCCACCAAATAACATGGAACCTCACAGGGACCCGGTCCCCTTAAAAGGAAAATGGTCCAAACCGCCCCAAGACGTACGGCGCCATCCCCGGCGATCGACCCATTCGGACCTTGAGTCGCTTCTCTACCTGGTCCACCAGCTCGCTGGCAGCCTGCGAGCTCGAATCCCTTCGACATATGGCTGTGGGTCAAAACTAATGGGATCCCATTTTGGGGTAGGTGCACCACCCATTTTAGAGCCTATTTTAGTGGTTGGATTGGGTCCAGTTCACTGCGGGTTTGGATTTTGACCCATGGCCATATGGACCCCACAGGGAAAAATGGACAGGCAAAGGCTCCAATTTTCCGAGGCAGGAAAGGGTGAACATGGCTCAAAACTACTGGAAATACCCTCGAAACTGCTGTGACTGTAGTCAAGTGCAGATGGCGTTCTTAGAATAAGATAATGAACCCTCGAACAGCGCTGCGAGTGGAACTAAGGCGCCAAGAAAGGATGCCGAAAGCCGTTTCGTGGCTTCCCCAGAAATAAAAAAGGCGAGCCCTCTGCTGCTCTGAATCTCATCAACTCAACTGAAAGGAATCATCCCTATCTGCATTTGTTGTTCTACGTTGCTATTTCCAAGCTGGAAACTCCGTGTCAAGGACCTTCATGGGTGAGATTGCTTCCAAGGTAGCTCGCTTCCCAGATCAGTGCGCTCGTCATGAGTGGCGCCCAAATAGCAACAAAAATAGGCAACGGTAAAAGGAGGTAGCTCGCCAAACCACTTGATAGCTCTTCGATCCGTTGGGTCCTGGTCCCTGTAACATGCGGGTCCGGTCCCTGTAAACTGCGCCGCGACCTTTAGGTTCCCCCGCGCGCCATAACGCGCTCGATTCGTTCGACTGCCGGCCTTCCTCATTTCGTTCACTGAGCCAAAGGGCTCAGCTCCTGTCGAACGAAACCAGCGTCACAATCAAAGCCTGGTACGAGCAACCATCAGTTAGCACACCCAACCAGATGGAGATGTCCCCGGAAGTGGGCGGGCCATGAGGTCCATATGCGAACTGATTGTTACTCACAAGGGATGTGCCCAACACCCACGGTCAAGACTTTCCTGCACTTGCCCTAGTTTTAACTCTGGCTATGAGCCATCGCTTTCGCAATGGATGTGGGTCTGTCTTTTCTTGAGGGTTGCTGTTGTTTGGGGGTTTGAAAGCAAACCAATAGGAAATCGCCAGTTTGGAGGGTCCCAAGAAAAAACACCCCCCTATAAGAACATGGACAAGTAGCGGGTCGCCTGTTGTTCGGTTGGACATCGAGAGAGCAATGCACCAGAATTTGGTGAGAAAGCCCTATGCCAAGGGCAATTTGCTGAGGCATGAATCTTTGCAGAAAACCATCAACTAAGTATCAAGTGAAAAAAAAATGCTTGTTTAAAACAACGATACTTGAAAAGGATGGGGATTCACCCCCCCGAATCAGTTGGAGACTCCCTGAAGTTGTTGTCGTTCTACCACCTGGTTCCATGGAATCTGATAGGGGCTTCATTGACCCCTAGACTATGTAGGGATCAACCTTTGCATTGAGGCGGCAATGCTGTTTTTTTGTTGTTGGTTTTTTTTGTTTTTCCGGGCTAGAGCTTTACAGTATGACGATTGACCATTGCTCATAGCAAGCACTGATGTCCACCTTCTTCGTCTGAACCTTTGCCGAAGCGCAAATACTCTCAACCTGAAACAAACCTCCTAAACAAGAGGCAAACACATGAAAACCAAGCCTAAGATCAACCCGAAGACTTAGCCCAAGCAAGCCATTGTAGAAAAAAACAAACTAATAAACCCCAGGTCCCCTGAAGATATTCAGACAGACCAACCAAACGCATACCAATCCCCCATTGTACATCATGTTCAACGCGGTCTCTTTAGCTTCATATGCTGGCGCAAAGAAAAAGACATACTCGACCACACGCCCATGGGCAAGCGGAAGCTTCGCAGATTTCCCAGTCCGGACCGCTTCACTTTGACAAACCGGCATAGTAAAAAAACGAACAGAAAAAAGGCAACGAGAAGGTCGAAGCATGTACCAGTCACAAGCATTTGTCTGAACCTAGCTTTAACACCAACACAACAAATCACCTTCACACTTTGGGCTTTGTACTCTACATGTTGTGCGAGTCGCTTGGAAGTTGGCTGTGAGTGGTTGCATCATTAACTTTTGTTTTTGCTCAACAGTTGTGATCAATTCATGTGTTGGTGACTTGCTTGAACTTGACAACATGTTCCAGGTTCTCCACTAGATCTCTGAGGGAATCCCTAGCCAGGGCTGTGCAAGCCCCGGTTCCAACCGTGATTTAAGTGGCCGGCAGTTTCAATATATGGCTTCACTTCGAAATCCAAGGGGACTTTTTCCGGGTCTTCAACACATGGGCCAAGCTTTGGTTCCAACCGTGATTTACTCTCAAGGGGAATTGTCGGGTCCTAAACACTGGCCCCCAGTTTGACCCGTTGAATGGGTTCTAACAAAACATGTTGCAACCAACCTTTTTAGTACTCCCAAATTGAAAAGCCGGTCCGAAGGCCCCAGTTTCACCCGTTGGGTTCTAAGCAATGGGACTCTCAACATTCATTGAATTCATAGCCACATGGTTGTCCTTTGGTGCAAACGATCCGAATATCCCCGCTACCTTCTGGGGGAGGGTAGTGGGGTCCCCAATTTCATTCCCCTCGTCTTCCCATGAACCTGCCCCAATTTCATGTCCCGCTACCTTCTGGGGGGGTGGGGATATCCAAATCCCTTTAGAACCTGTGAAGCGCCTCCCAGGTCACAGCCCCCCCCCGGTCGTTGCCTTCCCCCTTCAGGATCTCCGCCACCTCTGCCAAACCCACCGTTCGCACGGGCGCCGGCACGTCGCCCCTCGGGTTGCACGCGAAAAGGGGGCTGGGGGGGGGGGGGCGTGGGGGTGATCCGTCCCCAAGTTTAAGGGAGAACACCCAAAGCCGCAAGCTTTGGCAACTGACCTTCCGGACCAGTGAGCTCGTGGTAAATTGTCCATCCATTCAACTTGGCAACCGCAAGAAACCAAAGGACCGAAAGCCTTGGAGCCTTAGGGTTCACATACGACCCAAAATCTGTGAGGCCTTCTTTGTGGGTACCAGCCCCCGGCTTCCGTACATGGCTTAGAGGGATGGGAGGCCAAACAAACCCTTTCCCAGGCGCGTCTGCAAGGACTTGGAAGCCTTTTAGATCCCTTTAGGTGGTGTCCGTTCAGTGAAGCATACAGTTTGGGCGTCCCCTCATTTTGGAGACCTGCAACTTTTGGAGACTCAGTCTGTCAGTTCCGCAATCTGGGAGAGCGAACTCATGGAACCTTGGGGCCCGAAGTCGATCCGAATCTCAGAGACCGGGCGAGTCCGCAGGGTACCCCGTCCTTTGCTTTCGGACAAGACCGTGAAAAAGGACGCGGTCGAGACAAACGAGAAGAGGATGCAAGGTTCTATCTTTGCAAGAGGGACGCTTAATAACCGCTACATATAGCCAACACTCAGCACCTAAAAGCAGTTCAGGTTGGTGGCTTGGTACGCAACACTAGTGGAGAACAGAATCAGGGCTCCCGTTGAACAAGCACCCCGCATCCAAAGGCAGGCTCATTTTGGCTCAGGCCCCAAAAGGCGATGTCACTAACCCACGGGGTTTACCATCGAGCCTTGAAGCCTCAGGCCGACTGCGCTGAAAACCTGAGCTTCGGGCTCCAGGTCCATGACAAAGCAGAAGTGCGCCAGCCTGGGCTCCGAACGCCAGGATTCAGCTTCCCTCAACCCATCGAAATTGAAATGGGCGCAATCCCCAGAACCATGTAGTTGCCCAGTCCAATTTATGGGGCTCTGCCGTACTAAGCTTCTGCCCGGGCACCATGTAGAGATTGCCGAGTCCAATTTATGGGGCTCTGCCGTACTAAGCTTCTGCCCGGGCACCATGTAGAGATTGCCGAGTCCAATTTATGGGGCTCTGCCGTACTAAGCTTCTGCCCGGGCACCATGTAGAGATTGCCGAGTCCAATTTATGGGGCTCTGCCGTACTAAGCTTCTGCCCGGGCACCATGTAGAGATTGCCGAGTCCAATTTATGGGGCTCTGCCGTACTAAGCTTCTGCCCGGGCACCATGTAGAGATTGCCGAGTCCAATTTATGGGGCTCTGCCGTACTAAGCTTCTGCCTGCGGCTCTCTTGGTGGTTTGGGCTGGTGGGGAAATCACCCTCAAGAACCACAAAAATATGTGTCTTCAGGGCAAAAGCCAACTGGGCCAGCGGGTCTCTGACAGTCTTGGGCCTTCAAGCGCAGGTAAGCAGGTGACACCCTGGCAGGGTGGATTCGTGGATTCCAGCTACATGTTTGTTTGGAATGTCCCGCACAAATGGAGGCCTCAGTCTTGCAAGTGAACCAACCCGCATCGACAAAGCCATGGCAATGCGACGTTTAGGGCATCTACCGCATGTCAGACGTTAGCAACACAACGGTGTTTGCGCAGCCGACACTGAACCCCCCGCCCCCCCAAAAAAAATGAAAGAAGTCAAACAAACGACCCTAGTAACATAGGTAACATAGTAAAAGCGGGGTCCATTAAAGTGACATGCTCAACATAATCCTGCACTTTCATGGATCCCAAGCCAAAGCAACAGTTTCCCCACCCAAAGGTCCCCAAGATCCTTCAGGCCCGGGCGGGGCCACAAGCTTGTAGTGAAGCCGGTCGTAGCCGCCAAGCTCCCACAGCTTTCTCAGGGCCTCCAAAACAAGGTGCAGCTCACCTGTTCATCCCTCAGCAAATTCATGCGAACCCAAAGAGGAAATCCTGAAAATTGATGTTTTTGTTTCTTTCTTTCTGGGCGAGGAGGAGCATTGTTGAAATTTCACAACTCAATCATCAACCCATTTCAGCCGTCGCATCCTCAGTGAGACTTTCCTGCTAAGTTTACTGGCTAAAAAACCACCTGCGGGTGTCGGCCAAAATGAATGGGAAGTTTGAAGTTGCCAACTCAATCAGCAAGCCGAAGGAATTCATGCTGACACAACGGCGACTTTGACGTGCTTGAACTCGTGGCCATGTGGAGCCAGGCATTGGGGCAACGAAAACAAACCGTCAGGCTAAACACAGGGAACTCCGGAGTGCACAACATTTGCCCAAAGGGATGAGTGTCAAAGAACCACCAAGGAACACAACGAATGCTCAAGATTCCCTCTCGTTGTGTGTAACACGCATGAAAGGAGCATCCTCTTGGCTTCGAAGGTCCTCAGCTCTTGCCTGCAATGTATCACAAAGTGGAACCCTCGAATGGATATTAGTTGAAGGAGACCCCCCTTGGTGGACGGATTGATGCCCACAACCCTCTTTTGAGGGGGTTCCCGATTCGAATCCATAGCCACACTTAGATTCATAGCCAACTGGGCGGCTCGTGTTGGCATCGAGCTGCAAATCAAAGTGAAAGGCGACTCACCTTAATATCAGCACCAGAGATCCTGCAGCATCACACTTTCAAGACAACGCCAAGCACATCATTGGCTTCAAACCAATTTGAGCTCGAACGCGTGACATCAGCTCACTGCGCGAGCGGATGCCCCAAAAAAAAGTCCGAACTTTTTGTTTACCACCAACATGGTCTTCCCAAAAACTACGAAGTTCAGGAACTCAGGAACTCAGGAACTCAGGAAGTGAGTCAGCTGCAAAGGGAACTGAGACTGGGACGCCGGAATTTTCGGGTTGCCCAACTTCCCGGGTTTGACTTCGCGGCCTGCAAGCAGTGGAGCACCTTCTTCTGCCTGCTGAAGACCTCGTAGGTCATCACCTGAAAAGATCTTGGCACACATCTGGGGTAGAAAATAAGAGACCAGGTGTTGGTGGAATTTTAATTTCAACATGAAAAATGCCACACAACACTGTGTGGAAAATAAGATGTTCAAATTCTGCTTCACGTTCAATCTACCCTAAAAGGTAAAATAGCTTGGGAGGAGATCCCGGATACATGTACGAAGAGGCAGACCAACATGGTGCTTGTTTGTTTGGTTTCGCTTGAAATCCATCCCAAAAAGGTTTACAACACGATCAAAGGACTGCGGGGTGAGGCGATTCAACCCTCGTTTTCGTTTGTCACCTTTGAACGACCTCCTTTTCTCTTGAGGTGGCAGGGGGTTGAGACAAAGTCTCAGTCAAGGCGGCTACGTGGAAGCAAGACAAGCACCAAAGCCTGCCCCTTCCCACACACTCCCAAACAGTTGGGGGAGGTGTAATGGCATCCAATGAGGTAAATCCTTGGACGTGTCTGGCTTGCCCTCAAAACTAACCCACCCCCCCCACTCCCAGGAAAAACAAGAAACTCGGCCGCTTCTTGCCTCCCCACTCAAAAAACAACAGAACTGTCTTGCTTCCACACACACACACACAAAAAAAACGGGGCAAAGGTGCCTCCTTGCACTTTGCCGCACATACGGCCGCAACCCGCAACCCCCCTCTGCTTGGGTCGCCCCGCGTGAGTGGCTGAGTCGAGAGCGCTGTAGGTCACCATGGTCTTAACCTGGGTGAGAAATATAACCAATTGAGTGTCTCATAAAATCGGGAAAATTGGTGTTGTTTTCTGCTGGTGTCCCTTTGTATAAACGAACATGGGTGTTTTTGTTTCCTTTTTTTCTGTTGTTCCTTTGTCCAAACGGAATAACAAAATGGGAATACACACACACTCTGTTGTTCCCAGCAGGACGGATCTTGGATGACGTTGCCCCATCAGCAGTAACTTGGGTTTGGGCCATTTTTGTGGCTAATCAAAATCATCGAGTGGGGGCAGGGTCCAAATGGGGTGATCCGAAATGATTGGTTGAAACAAAGGAACCTGCCTCCCAGATTGGTTAATTAATTTCCTTAAGAAAGCACCTGCGAAACAACCACAGGTCAAATACAACGAAACTCCCTAAATCTCGGCAAGCCGAAGCTCTTGATCTCCCATGTTGAGCAATTCATCGAGTGAAGGGTCACAGTCAAAACGCGCAAAATGGCTCATGTCCCTTTGGCATCTCTTCAATACAACCCCAAGCAGGGTTGAAACATCGGTTTTCTCATGAGCCGCAATCACAAGCTAGTTGTAGCTCATCACCCATGATGAAAAATCAAGTTGGCTTCTGCTTTCCGCCTCCGCCCGGCGGAAAAGGGCCGCATGTTTGTCGCGTGGGTGGAACCCACACGACCTCGCTTTCGCACGGAAGCTAGGGGAACTGACTTCTACAGAACTGATTCATGACCCGGTGAAAGCAGATGGCGCAACTTATTTTTGGCTTCGTCACCCCGTTTTCCTAAGGAAATTGTGCCATCTGATTTCACCCGGACTCCACGTCAAGGCTTGAAGTGGCTCTTCAAAAAGAAACGCCGGCTGCTTGGTTTTGGTTCGGGGGGGAGACCAACTCAGTTGCTGGTGGACCAACGCACCCCCTTGTATGAGGGCCAGGCCGCAGGGTTGTTTGTGTTTCCCAAACAAAGAGACATACTGTCATTATAAGCCTCCAAGTTCTTATTTGACAACATTGGTAACACTCATTCTCTACTGGCAATATATGGTTTTAAAGTACCCCGCAACCCATGCCCTTACTGAGTCTCTGACGTCCAAAGGGCCCGCGTTCAATGATGCTCTTGGAACTCATACCCTCGCGAAAGCTCGACAAATAGAACAAAACAGCAAAAGGCACGCATACACACACACAACCCCCACACTGTTTTGCTGATTGTATAGCAACACCAAAACATCAAGCCAGTCACCACGTGTCGCCTGTCCTTGCTGTCTTTGGCTATGCATCCCTTTGAAAAAGCCGGGCCCAGCAACCCTTGTAGAGAAAGAAAAGAGAAAGAAAAGCCCTTTTTCGGAGTCAGGGCCAGTTGCAGGTCCCGAAGCCAAGCAAAAGGCATAGTAGCAAAAGGACTCCCCTGAATGGGGCAAATCCAACTGGGACCCTTGAAGTGACCAGCTTGAGGGGTTCTCAAAATTATCCCTTTACACGACTATTCCAAGGATAGGAAGTCACTTTCGACGATGCGGTTAGTCTCTGGTCTCTGGGCTCAAGGCGATCTTGCTGGCCTGCTCCATAGGGTCTTGCTGCCTCAGCGCGCAAACCCTGGGGGTCTTTTGCGGGACACGGGACTCCGGGACACGGACGGCCCAGCTCCCATGTTGACACCCCCAAATCTGCATCCCAGCTGTTGGCTGAAAACAAACATGAGGGCTCCAAACGGGCCACCCCGTTGTCAAGCTCCTGTGGCTTCTCTGGGGTAGCATTTTGCTGGCGCACATGGACAAACAGAAACACAAAGGCGAAAAGTCTGGAAGGCAAGTTAAGTGCGGCAATGCCAGCGCTTAGTCGTATATGAAACATATACTGTACATGTTGCAAACGACTTAGGATATTACAAGTTTTCAGGGCTGTTTCCCTCAACATAGCCCTTCTGTGTTGGCAGCTGTCAAAAAATAATTCAGGCCCCCTGTTGGATGGGTATAAAAATGGAGTTTAAAAGTGGAAGCCAAGCATGTCCAAGGCTCTGGAAGCACGCGAATTCGCTCCATGTCTGTGCCTCCTCGCCCTCCCCGCTCCCCGCTCCCCCCTTCCCCCCGAGATGGAACAAAATAGTCCATATTCAGTGAATCAATCTCACAATGAGTTCAAGTCAATCTTCGATGTCGGAGGCGGCTCTACTGCGGATGGACGAAATCCATTTCGCACCACCTAGGAATGCCCTGGAATGAAGATTCCCATGCAAATACCAACAAACAACGGATTTCATGGTTTCCAAGTGGTGCCAACAAATTTCGTCCATCCACAGCCGATTTGTTTGGCAAGATCCCCCCCTTCCCTTGTCGCCCTGCTTTTCGCTTCCTACGGTGCCGGCAGGAGCTTCTCCCCTTCCGGGTCATCGTCCACCTTCTTGGGCTTCCCAGTGGTGGTGGTGGTCCTCAGCTCGCGACGTGGCGGAAGCCCTTTGTGCGGGCACCGTTCAGAAACCCCGGAATGTTTCGATTCATGTGAATGCCAACAAACAATGGTTTCAACCATGGTTTCTTAGGTGGTGCAGGAGTTCGTCCATCCACAGTATTCAGAAACTTGGTGTCCCCTCAAAGCTTCCTCAAAGCTTCTGGAACATGGTGGGTTTCGCAGTGGACGGTCCCTTTCTCGCCCAATTCGATGTGGGACCAACGCCAACAGGGGGTTCCAATTTCTCTGGGCGAATTACCATGATTCATAAACCGGGAATCGAGAATCCCCCAGTAAGGGACGTGGGAGAGCTCGCTCTACTCCGAGCTCGCTATTATGTGTCCAGATTTCTGGAAAAAATGGGACTGGCTTCAGTTGCAAACCAACATGGTCCAATTTCTCAAACCTTACATGTGTGTGAATAAGTGCGGCGCCCTTTCTGTGACAGGACTGTCCTGTTGCAAGTGGCATACCTTCAAAACAAATTCTTGCTTCCTGAGTGGATTGGCCAAAACAAGTCCCAACTTTGTGTTGACCCTTAAAATTGTCTTCCCAAAAAGGACAACCACCACTTTTGGGTTCCCCCAAACAAAGCCACACCCACTTGCGGACAGCCCCCTTTTCCGCGTTTCCCGCCCAAAAATGGGGTGGAAACGCCAGGATCTCAGTTCGAACCATGGCCAACACTTTGGCAACAACCTTCCGGAAAGGTCCTTTGCTTCAAAACTTTGAACATGGTCCTTTCGTGGAAGGCTTGGCAAGCAGGGTCCTTGACCAATCCTTGACCACATGGCCGAGTGGTAGGCTCAGGGAAGGAGCGACCCTGATCCCCGGTTTCAAGTCGAACCCAAATCTTCCATTTGCTTATGCCCCCGGGGAAAAATAAACATATTCCGGTCGTGATAGATTCCCTTTAAAACCAACAGGGGAAGATAAAGGCATAGTCTTAACCAAATGGTGGAAATGGTTCACGCCCAAACTCAGTGTGATTCGAATCAGAACCTCTCCCTCTCCCGGAAGTTGAGGCCGCTGCGTCGTGGCTTTCTGTGTCTCTTTCTGCGCCTCGGGTTTCGAGGCATGGGATCGGAGGTAATGAAATTCCAGGAACCGAGCGAGCTCTTTTAAAGGGAACCCACAAACTGAGGGGCTTCCCCTTTTAAACCATCCCGAAAGGGTAAGACTGGCTTGTTTGTAGATGGGTCATAATCAAACTAGCTATGCATACCCAAACCACACTGGAAAAAGGGAACGCGTGAGGCCAGGACACTTTCAAGTGCGAAACCCACTATAAACAACAAAAGGCAAAAAGGGAAAGGGCTGAACTTGGCCAAAAGGACTCTCCATCGATCTTGGAACTTTCGGCGAAACGCCGGACCCAAAGCTTGCAAGAGCCACCGAAAGCCGCCGAAAGCAACCAGCGGCATGGCGCAGTTTGATTTCCATGGGCCAGGAATAGACACCTCAGTTGAAATTTAGGGCAACCCCAAGCAAAAAGAAATGGACAATGGCTGATTCCGGCTGCACCTGAAGCAAGGGAAACAGAATGAGGCCTTCATTTGCGGCTTGGCCGGTTCTGTTGGCCTGAGTAAGCACTAAGCCCGGTCTTTGGGATGGTGGAAGGGTCACTGGAAAGGGGCAATATGACTTTGCTTCAAATGAGTGGAACCCGGACAAACATCCTGGACACATGACACATGTCCCAACATCTGCTGATTGCCAGGCTTTTTTTGCCCTCTGCTACGGCGAGCGTGGGGATTTCGGATCCCCTGTTGCTCAACCAAGAGAAGCATGAAACATGTGTTGACAAACACCCAGGTGATACAAGTGGGAAGAAACCAACACCTCACCCACCCGCAGTGAGCAAATGTCTGCCTTCGGCACAAAGAGCCAGGTCTGGTCACGTGGTCACGCTTGAGACACAGGCCTAAATGAATCCTTATTCATGTGGCTATTAATTGTTGTTGGTTTCTTTGACAAAAGGGCCCAGGAGTAAGAATGAAAACGTTGTATTCATTGAGTGTTTAATCAAAAGAGCATGGAGCATGCTCAACCCAAAACCGGGGGGCCAAAAGGGCTCCGTTTTTGGTTACCCCAAGGTAGACCTAGACACGGGGGTTGATTTCCCCCAAAAGGAGAACCTTTGGGCTTAGTGTCTAAATTAGTCATCTTAGGCAAACAAAAACATGAGCCCACCGCCGAGGCGCCTCCCGCTTCTTCTTGTGCTTCAGCTTCTTCTTCTCCTCAGCGCTGAGCTCTTCTTCGTTGCCTCGCGGCAAGGCGACCACAGCGGCAAGGCGACCACAGCGGCAAGGCCCACCACCCATCAATCCTATTGGGGCAACAAAAGGAAAACCACAACCGGTTTGGAAAAGGAAACGGAAAAGGAAAAGGAAAAGGAAACAACCGAGGAATTTCCTTGTTGGGACAACCTACCAAAAAGGAAAAGGGAAATCCTTCAACAAATCCAAGCTCCGGGCGCGAGCTGCCTGCTTGACAGACGCTCGAAGGATACACGACACCCAAACGAAGACCTGTGGCGGCCAAGGACACCTGGTCGTTTTCTCGGCTCGTTCAGGGAAGCCCCCCCCAGCCTCCGCCGCCCAAGCCTCCGCCCCCAAGCCACAGGAAACCCCCCCCAGCCTCCGTTTTCCAAGCCGCCCCTACGGGAAACCGGACACGGTCGGTCGGGGGAAACACCTGCACGGCATGAGACTGGCCTGCTTCCGTGGACTCCTTCTTCTCACCTAAGGCCGGAAATGCGCGAGACTGGGCCAATGGTGACGTTTCCATTCCGAAGTCCACAAGAGCCTTCTCCCAGAAAATTCGCCTCGGCCCCAAAAGGGGCCAAGGGCGCTCAGATCTCTTCTCCAAAAAGAATCTTCGCCTTCCCCAACCAAAATTTTGCCTGCCCGCCCAGGCCCAGCCCAACCAGCAACCCGCCTGCTGGCCAGGCCTGTCAGCCCAGCCCACCCAGCCTTCAGGCCCAAGCTTGTCTGAAACAGGCCTAGCAAGTCATCCAGCAAGCCCAGCCCAGCCTGCCCAGCCCAAGCCCCAGGGCGTGCCGGCCCCCAGCTCCCAGCCCGCCAGCAGGCTCAGCCCAGCGTGCCATGTCTGAGACTGACCTCAGGCCAACGACGTGTCTGAGACTGGTCTCAAGCTATGCCAGCTACTAAGCCTGTCTGACGTGCCCCAGTCCGGCTGCCCAAGCAGCTCAGCCCAGGCTGGCCAGGCCTTGACCTCCTGCTCGCGTCAGGCCCAGCCCCGTGTCTTACGTGTCTGCGACTGGCCTCACAGCCAGCAACTCGCCACCCAGCCTCAGGCCCAAGTGTGTATGAAACAGGCCTTGCATCCAGCAACCCGCCCAAGCACAGCTCAGCCCAGCCCAAGTTCCCAACCCGCAGCGTAGTCCGGCTGCCCGGCAGCCAGCAACCCACCCATGGCTTCGCAGCCTCGTGGCTGAGACTAGCTTCAGGTCCAGCCCAAGTAGCAACCCACCTCAGCCCAGCCTGCCCAGCCCAGACCGGCGCGCCACTAGGTAGGCTCAGCCCAGCGTGCCAAGGTCAGGTTTGTCTAACGTGTCTGAGACTGGCCTCAGGCCAACGACCAGTCTCACGTGTCTGAGACTGGTCTCAAGCTATGCCAGCTACTAAGCCTGTCTGACGTGCCCCACCTTAGTCCGGCTCAGCCCAGGCTGGCCAGGCCTTGCTCGCGTCTGGCCCCAAGTCATCCAGCAGGCCCAGCCCCTCGCAGTCTGAGACTGGTCTCAAAAGTATGCCAGCCTGAGACTAGCCTCAGTCCCTCGCTCAGCTCGCCTGCTGGCGTGTCTTACGTGTCTGCGACTGGCCTCAGGCCCAGGCCAGCAACGTATGAAACAGGCCTACAGCTCAGCCCAGCCCGCCCAGCCCAAGTTCCAGGCGCAACCAGCATAGTCCGGCTGCCCGGCAGCCAGCAACCCACCCCATGGCTTCGCAGCCTCGTGGCTGAGACTAGCTTCAGGCCCAGCCCAACCAGCAACCCACCTCAGCCCAGCCTGCCCAGCCCAGGCCCTCGGCGCATCTCAGGCCATGCCAACTAGGCCGCCCAGGCAGGGCAGGTTTGTCTAACGTGTCTGAGACTGGCCTCAGGCCAACCAATCTCACGTGTCTGAGACTGGTCTCAAGCTACGCCAGCTACTAAGCCTGTCTGACGTGCCCCAGCCCCCCAGTCCGGCTGCCCAAGCAGCTCAGCCCAGGCTGACCAGACCTTGACCTCCTGCTCGTGTCTTCCAGCAGGCCCAGCCCCTTCGGCGCAGTCTCCTACGTCTCAAGGTTAGCCTCAGGCCCAGTCCCTCAGCCCGCCTGCTGACGTCTCAGGCCCAGCCCAGCTACCCGGCCTCAGGCCCAAGTGTGTATGAGACAGCCAGCCCGCCCAGCCGAAGTTCCAGGCGCAACCAACAGCGTAGTCCGGCTGCCCAGCAGCCAGCAACCCACCCATGGCTTCGCAGCCTCGTGGCTGAGACTAGCTTCAGGCCCAGCCCAACCAGCAACCCGCCTAAGCAAACCCCACCCAAGCCCCCTGTTTGAGACTCGCAGGCCTCAGCCTTTCTAGCGCCGAGACTGGGCCTCACCATGGGCTCAACTCGCGTCTAGCCCAGCCCAGTCCGCCTTCCGGCCAGGCCTGTCTGACGTGTCTGAAACTGGCCTCAGGCCCAGCCCAGCCATAGCCCAGCCCCCTCAGTGCGGCTGCCCAGCCCGCCGTAAACTAGCTTCAGGCCCAGCTCAACCAACAACCCACGCAAGCAAGGTCCAGCCAAGCTGCCCGAGACTAGCTTCAGGCCCAGCGCAGGCATATCTGATGTGTCTGAGACTAGCCTGTGGCCCAGCCCAACCAGGCGAGGCCGGCTTGTCTGACTTGTCTGGAGCCAGCTTCAGGCCCAGCCCAACGCGAGCAAGCCACAGCCCAGCCCACCCAAGACTGGCTTCAGGCCAGCCCAACCAGCCACCCGCCCTAGCAAGGCCCAGCCCAGCCCGCCCTGCCCAGGCCCCAGGCGCAGGCCTTCCCCAACCAGCAGCCTGGTCCGGCGCATGGCATCAATTCGGTGTTCCTGACCCTTCCCTCAAACTAGGCTGGGCCGAGGCGGGCAACGCGAAGCGTTTACAATAAATCGCCCATCCCAACTTTTACATAGGATTTCGCCCATCTTAACTGTCAACTGGTGCATTCTGTTTAGTGCAACCATCCTGGGCACCCCGGAAAGGCACTGGGCCCCTGGGCCGGTGTCCTCGTTCGCCTTGCCGTCCTGAGCCGAAAATCCGAATCGAGCTGGGGGGATCCAGCAAACTCACGTCCTCCAAATGGGGTGTGGGTCAAAAATAGGGTAGCCCCAAAATGGAGCCCTGGTAAATGGAACCAAGGACTGAAACCTGGCGGTCCCCTGGTGGTTTAATTTTGGCCCATACCCAAATCACGGCACAGCCCCCAAACATCCCCGAACATCACATGTCGCGAACCCCTCAAAACCTTCACAAGCGGCATACGGTGTATGGACGAAATCTCCTGCTGTTTGTTGGCATTTGCAGGGGAATCGTCAATGCAGGAGTTCTTAGGTGGTGCGGTGCCATCCACAGTGGTATTTGGATGCCCTTTATTGGGGGGATCCACTTTAGGTTGGTTTGAATGAAGCTAAAAGAGACCTATTGCATATGTGGCTGCTTATTTGGGGGAACCCTGTTGGTTCCTTTAAAGGAAGGCCAAAAGGAGCTCAATCATTTCATTGGGCTCGGTCTCTGTATTTTATGTTTGAAGTACCCAATTTCTGTTTGTCTCCAAAGGTGCTGAACCTTCGACCTTTCCACGTTCAGTTGACGTCCAAAGAAAGGTGAATCGATATTTTGCTTTGCGGACCCTTCGGAGAGATGTATGGAACACAAATCTTTGATTTGTTGTGACAGAGAGGAAGCAGCCAGCTGTGACCTCCCATAGTAGCTTGCGACGCCACTAATTAGAGGGTCGAAAAGGGTGACCGCGCTACAGGTGAAAGCACAGGGAGACTTCAAAACCAGGCGCATGTCAGTGCCCTGACCAAGTAGAACCATGTCCCATTCTCGAGATGAGTTGGAAAAAACCACATGTTGCATCTACAACCCCTGGCAAAAAATGCACCCAAGTGCACAACTGCAAGTGTTCCACATCTGCAGCTCCTGCTAAAGGAATATACCAAAGCCAGATGAAAAAAATGCAAAGCTGTCGAGGACTCGGGGAAGGGCCCCAACATATCTCTAAGACTCTGCTCGCTCGCAAGAATGCTGCTGGTCCACCATGCTGCTGTTCCACCACACGGCGTGAGGCACCCACCAAATGGCGAGTGAAAATCAGTTTGCATACCCAGCCAATGTAGAGTTGGCACTCTTGCGCCTGTGGACACCCGGGAACCGGGTGGAAATCCACAAGTGTTTTTTCATGTTGATCGAGGATTGATAGACCCGCCCTATGTTTGTGTGGAGATGCTTCCTCCACAAGTGGTCTGCCCCACTAAAATGGGGAATTCACCCCCCGACCCCTGGAGGGCAGATCGGAACCCCCCCCAAACCTCCCAAGCAATCCTAACCACCAAAACCGTACCTTCCATGGGGTCACAACCAACCACTTCAACGCCACCCCCGAAACCCCACGCCAAAATTGCCAACAAGGTCCTCCAGTAGAGAGGTTAAAATAAGGGTACCCTGTTGTCTGTGGGAAATTTTAGTCGGGGAACCCTCCCCCAAAAAGTGTAAAAGGGCACTACTGGGGGACCTAGCCAAAGACCAGACCAAGGCTTTGGCGAAAAGCTCCAGGTAGATCTTTACAGCATCCTGAACGGCACAGGTGGTTGAACGGACGCGGTTAGGGGCCATGCCGTAAGGACGAGCGCTCGGACAAAAGGGATCTACTCTCTTGTTGTCTTGTTCTTCCTCTCTTTTCTTCCTTTTTCTTGTTGGGGGGGGGGGCGGGGGGGAGTTAAGAAACAAAAGGCTTTTGCTGTTCTGTTTGTTTCCAGTGAGATGAGCAGAAAAGAGGGACAATTCGGTCCCAAACAGCATGGGTAGATGCCGATTCCTGCCATGTTGCAACCAAGCCAGCGAGAAACCCTGGGATTTGCAGGGCTTCCAACGCGTTCCCTACTTGCAATACTCAGGGCATTGTTTTCTTTCTTGAGTTGGCGCCCTTTGTTTGGTGGTTAAACCCGAACCCGTTTCCGGGGTCCACAAGGAGGCGTGCCAATGCAAGGGCTAAGCAATTAGACACATTATTATGCTATGACTTAAGTTGGATTGGGAGTACCCTACAATGCCCTGCAAGCCCCTTCCTATTATCCAGGCGCTCCAATATGCACTTCTACTCGGCCCAACCCCTGAAGGACACTTCTCCGTTTTTGTTTGCGCGAGTCATAGAAGGTGGCCACACACAATTGCTCTAGTGATAGCAGGCTCACCAGGAGCTGAAGCTAGTGTGCAATGCAGCTCCCCCTACTCCAGGGTAGGTAGCATTGAGAACCATGATACGTGCCACCACAAGCCATTAGAGGAAGGGACCGCATGTTCCTTTAAAGACCATCTGGGAAAAAAAGCTGGATTCCTGACTTGCATGGTCCCTCGTTGCACCCTGGTTTAGCAACCCTGTTGAAGACGGTACTCAGCGAGGTTCCCTAACGATAGATCGCCTACAAGCACTCTGGATCTGCCAAGAGAAACTTACAGAAAAGGTACGATGACGGCACATATCTTCCCATGTAAAGGCCTCATTTGCTAGATTTTATCTTGCACGCTTTGTGAGAATGGGTCCCTGTCTGGACTCTGGACCATCCTTACAACCATGTCTCTGTTGAAGAGGGCTCTCTCGATATGCGCTGCAAAGCAACTCAGGTCCAACAGCCATGTGATTCTGCGAGCACCCTTTTGCCTACCTCAGCTTTTGCCTCACTGGCACCGTTAGAGTATGGTGCACATGAAGTGAACCTACCCCCAACAAAGACTCCCTGCCCATGCATTCTCCCATGAACGACGGTGGCATCCCAGTTGAGTATACTACTCTTCAATCGCGGCTCCTGTGGTGGACATCATTTGCATTCATGGGAGAAGGTTCCCAACCATGTGTTCCAACCTTCTAGGTATGCCCGAGAAAAAGCACACTGGCCTGGTCTCCCCTTTGTTTCGCTTTTGAACAACAAGAAAAAAGGGTCCTCCACTGGGTCCAGGAGTTGGCGTTGGCTTGTACTGTCCAGGTCCCCAATTCACCCCGGGCCATATGAATCGTGTAAACCCCAGTGGCTGCTGACCCCCCGAAACGACAACGACGCCTTCCCTCAGTGCCAGACGCCCCGAATCCCACGAAATGCAACCGTCTCCTTCGCGGCGCGCCGGTAAAACTTGTGCGAGTAGAGCCTCGGCCAAGCATAGGTAAATTCGATAGGTGCAAAACCTGACCCCGTTTCCAGTTGCCATTGTGATATAGCGCCCAAGAGAAGCACCTGACTATTCTTTCCCTGCGTGGTGACTGGAAGCAAGTGAGAAGGGCTCTTTAAATGGGACCACCCCAGAAAGAAACCTTCCTGATGCCCGAGGTGGGTTTCAAACCTTTTGGCTTCCCTTTAAGCCAGCCCCAAGTGGTGAGCCCACGTTTGCCCTTACAACAAAGTGAGCAGATCCATAGGGCGGTCCATTCGCCGTGGCCTGGTTGGCACACGTCAAAAGAACCTTTCATAATGGCCCCTTCTGGTTTCTGGTCAACTGGAAACTCAAAGGAGTGAACCCCTACCCTGAAACCCTCATTTGGTTTGGTGAGTGTCAAAAACTGCCTGATCCAAGTGTGCCCTGCACTTCTCTCATTGTCACATGGGTTCTCAAAAAAATGGTTAAATGGTTTCTCCTATGAGCTAAGCCCACGTTCTTTTCAAGGGCTCAAGGTGTCTCGTTCCCCAAACACAAACATGGAACCTGAAATAGGCTCGGCTCCCTCGGAACATGGAAGCTGCCCCAATTGGCCGAAGCAAGTCTTTCAAAGGGGTCCGGGGAGCTGCCCTGGAGTCGCCTCGGAGGGAAAAGAACGCGCGACCTTCAAACGGCCTTTGGGCTGGCGTCACGCTTGCCGTGTGAGATCCCAACCCTCCGCCCCCCAATTTGCAGTGGTAGTTGGTTCCTGAAAATGCGGCTGTTGTCCACGGGAAGAGCCCGCAAGCAATCAGTCAGTCAAAACACATCAAACCGAAGCAATCAACCAGCGTAATTTTAATGCCCTCCCATGGAGGGCACTTGACCTCTTTTTGAATCGAGGTCACTTAAGGCAGTGTTGGTGGCCTAAGTGCCCTTTTGATTCGTTTGCTAGGTGCCCTTTTTGGCTTGATAGGTTCTGTTGAAATCGAAGAGCTACCCGTGTCGAAGCGTGACAACTGCCACATTTGATTGGCGCTGACTCGGAAAGCCCGAATATGGCGTTTTGAGTGTCAAAGCGTGTCATTTGAGTGTCATTGGGGGTGCGAATCGAGGTCACTTACCCCTTGAAAAGGTCACTTACGCCAGTGTCGGTCGTGAGTGTCATTCGCGTGTCGCTGTGGCTCGATTTGCCCGGACTGAGGAGGGATCTGCCGGGGAGGGCAACCCTGAGGATCTAAGGGCCCTTTAAATGGCTTAAGTGACCTGTTTGATTACCCAAAAAATGAATCGAGCGCACTGAAAAAAAACTGGAAAAAGATCGTATGAAAATAGATCAATATATAAACAAATAATCAATAAACAAGTAAATAAATACGTAGACACACCAACGAAATGTGTGGCAAGTCAAATAAACAAATACATGAACAAAAAACATCAGGCAACCAAGCAAGCATGCAAGCAAGAAATGAATCAAGCAAGCAAGCAAGCAAGCAAGCAAGCAAGCAAGCAAGCAAGCAATCAATCAATCAATCAATCAATCAATCAATCAATCAATCAATCAATCATACAATCAAGTCAATCACTGATTCAAGCAATCAATCAATCAATCAATCAATCAATCAATCAATCAATCAATCAAGCAAGCAAGCAAGCAAGCAATCAATCAATCAATCAATCAATCAATCAATCAATCAATCATCACATTCATCAATCAATCAATCAATCAATCAATCAATCAATCAATCAATCAATCAATCAATCAATCAATCAATCAATCAATCAATCAATCAATCAATCAAATCATCAATCATCAATCCATCAATCCATCAATCCATCAATCCATCAATCCATCAATCCATCAATCCATCAATCCATCAATCCATCAATCCATCAATCCATCAATTAATCAATTAATCAATTAATCAATTAATCAATTAATCAATTAATTAATCAATTAATCAATTAATCAATTAATCAATCAATCAATCAATCAATCAATCAATCAATCAATCAATCAATCAATCAATCAAATCAATCAATCAATCAATCAATCAATCAATCAATCAATCAATCAATCAATCAATCAATCAATCAATCAATCAATCAATCAATCAATCAATCAATCAATCAATCAATCAATCAATCAATCAATCAATCAAATCATTCATGGGGACTCCAAGTTTCATCCGTGAATATTCAAAATGCACCTTGGGGTCGGGACACAAGCCCCCTCCCCTTCATGGCGATGGGTGGGCCAAGCAGCCGCTCTTGCATCCGCAACATCGCCACATAGGCCTGTGCCAAAGGTTGGCTGTCGAGGAAAAATGTCTTGCCCCCACCCCTGAGTACACTAAAATGTTTTAAGATTCAGTCTACTAGGTCGTCAACCTATAGCCAGGTATTGCACAGGAGGGGAGCAGTTCATATTCTTGAATTTCACGCTGCTGATTTTTGAAAGTGGATCCATCAAGGGGTTTCGAAGGTAGACACACAGCCATCCCGGTGAGTGCCAAAAAGCTGCTGGAAGTTGAACACCAGAAAAAACAAAGAACCACCAAAACGCCAGAATCGGGAAAAGAAGCAAGAACCGCAAGCTGGAATCTTTTCACAGCATCATACAGCATCCCAACCCCACCCCCCCACCCCCCCACCCCCCCCACCCCCCCAACCCCCCCAGCCCCCCACCCCGCATTTTCCTGAAATCAGACCCAACCTGAGGCCTTCTTCGGATCATATTTCAGGAAAGCCATGGATCCTATCGGGTGGCCTTGAGAGTGGTCTTCCGGAGGCAGTAGTTGTGGAAGTCGAACTGGTCCTCCGCGATGTCGCTGAAGTGCTTGAAGGTCTCGTGGAACCTCGTGCCAGCGGTCCCCAAACATGTCTTAAGGCTCTCCTGCCCATCCTCCCCCCCTTCTGCCATGGACACCCAGAGTCATTCTTGCAGCCAAGAAGCCTAAGAAACAAATACCCTCAATGAAGGAGGTTGCAAAATAGACCCATTCAGTGTCCATCATGCCCCCTCCCCCAATTTTCCCGCCCCCGATCAATTACAAACGGTGTCCCTATAAGGTCTCGCATCTGTGCCCGCAATCTATACTTCTAACCGCACTCAAACGCGGAAGTTCAACCCGCAGGTTCACAACCAGTGACTGCGGCACGGATTTCTATCCCAAGTTGCACAGACCCAATTCAACTCCCCTCTGGTCTCCGATTCCCTAAAGCTTTCCCGACTTTTCCAGGTCCCTCGGTGCAACACCTTCTCCCCGAAAGCCTCGGCTGGCAGATGCTTGAAAACTGTTAAACCAAAGCGCTACCAGATACACCAAACCAAAACCCGCCTGAGGCTTTGACGTTCTGCCAACTTGATACTGTGGATGGTTGCGAAATCCATTTCGCACCACCTAAGAAACCCTGGAAGGAGGATATCCCTGTAAATGCCAACAAACAATGGTTTCAACCATGGTTTCCAAGTGGTGGATTTTGTCCATCCACAGTATGTCCATGACATAAGACTAGTTATGTATTGAATAGTATATTCATCGCGTCTTTGGATCGGAATTCCCATGAAGCTCCAACGGAATTCAAGCATATTCGAAGTTGAATCATTGGTCCCAAAAAACAGCAAAGAAATGGAAGCAAACTGAAAATATTGTATTCCAAAAAATGGAATGGTTGGAATGAATCGGGACAGTTTGGAAGTTTGCAATTCTATACTTTGAGGGTAGCAAAGCGGCCTCCACCGCCTGCGCTCAGAATTTGTGGCGCTAACAATGGGCATCTTATTTAAGTTTAGGAAGAACCCATCGAAACAAAAGGTTTTTGCTCAGTGACAGCGTGGGGTTGATGTCCTTTTTTTTTCTCAACACCAATATGGGCAAATCACTATGGTTTGCACATTGGGAAAAAGTAGCGCCTAGAAACAAACGATGATCATGGGCAAGCTCATCTTACCCGCACATAAGCTCGACATAACTTGCCCAGACCCGCAGAACGTGTTTTGCGGTTGCCAAAGGTCCGAATGCAGATCTCAGGTCTTCCCAAAAGTGGAACTCTTCTGGCTACGCTTTTGTCGTGCGCGCAAAGCATTCCAAGCTGGGCACTCTACTTCTGGCGGCCATCAAACAGTAGCGTCTTTGCTGGAAGTGCCCTCTGGAGTCCATGGATGTGCGGAAAACTTGGACAAGCCCAGCAATTCCTTTGACCAGTATTCCGCGCAACCACCAGTTCAAGCCGGGAAAATGTCTGGTTACTAGGAAGGGAACCCATGTCAGGGTTCCAGAAACTGAACCAAGGGAAGCTCATGGTCAATGAGGTTCCTGGCCTGCCCTCAGATCCCCACACCACATTCGGATGTTTGCTTATCCACGCGAATCGATGGGCTCCAGTTGAAAGGCAGTTTATGAAGCAGTATTCATAGGGCTTCGTCCATCCCAACCGGTGCAGGGTTTTGTGAATCCTCAGGCTATTGCAGCCAAGTTCTGACTACTAGAGGCTAATGGCGACTTATGAACTGTTTGGCAGGCCATCTCCCGGTGGCTCCCCTAGTTATGGCCCTGACTATTTTTTTGATACTTGCCCACAAACATGTGCTTGAGACCTAGTTAAAGTCTACGGGAGTCTCTCTTTTTTGGGGGGACCCCCCAAAACACAAATGGTGGTTTTCTCGTTGGTTTCCCTGTAAAACCACAAAACAGGGTACCCACGTCTAGTTGGAAATGTCGACCTTCAACTCCTCAGGTTGACAGCGGTGAGCTGGGCTATTGGTAACCCTAATTAATTAAGGCTTACACGGGGGTTTAGTCGGGGTTACTAACCACTTACCTAACTCCCAGACCATCTAAGTAGGCCAAAACGGGTTGACCATCGGCCAAAACAACTTGAAGGTTCCCCGCCCCTCCTCCCCTCTCTCCCTCCCTCGGCCCAGGGCCCCCCGAGCAGCAGTCACTTTTCCCCAGCTCTCTGCCCATGTTTTTGCAAGCCGGATCTACCAGACAACCTCGGAAATCTGGGCCCAGACCATAATGTTTGAATGTTTGAATGTTTGTCCAAACGTGGGAGGAAAAGTGGGAGTTGTGCGGTGTCTCCAGTCCTCCCCAAACCAACCGTAGACTATACCAAGAATATGTTCAGTGACTCGTATCGGCTGTCCCGAGGCCAACCGCATGGCTCAGGGCTGTCCTTTTCCCATGACCCCTGCCATCACTTTGGCAAACAGGGCATGTCCGCCTTGCCACTTCAAGGAAGCTCCCTTTGGATTGAAACACCAACAGGTGATCTTCCTACAGACACCAAAAAAGATGATATTTGTGAAGACACCAACAGCTGATCTTCCTAAACACTTGAGACTTGCAAAAGACAACAAGCTTCTCGGTAATGAGAAAGAAGGAGAACAGCACAGCCCCTTCCGCGGTCCTCGCATGCGCGGTCGCATGCGGCATCCTCACCGAGACTCACTTCGGAAGGGCGGCACAGGGGTGTGGTCCCCCAAGGTGCTGCCGCTGCGGGAGCGGCTGTCTCGGAGATCCTCGGAGATTTTTCCCGGGGGTTCTCAAAACAGGGATCCCCCAAAACATGGTGTAAGAGCTGTGGTTTCGCTTGAACTACCCAACGTCCGAATCTCATGTTAAGAAACCTGCTAACTCAAATCCTTTGGTTTCTCTCAGGGGTCAGTGGATTTCCACTTCAGTGGCGACTGGTGGTTTCCATTGAAACGATCGCCACTTTAAAGGTTCCAAAACTGGAAATGGAGCAACCCCAACTTCAAATACCCTCCCACCAGCTAACATGGAAGTGCACAGACCCCTGTAGAAAGACGACTTTCCTGCCTTTTTGCGCTTCCATGTTAGATGGTGGGAGAGTACCCAAAACCAAATCTCCCCGGCCCGGCCTCGGGCACGCCGAAGACCGTGAGCTCCACGTCTTTCTCCATGAGCTCTGTCGCCTCCTTTGCGTCGCCAGGCTGGGACCTTTTTGATTTACAACCCCCAAGACAGGGATCCGGATGCATTATACACCTGAACATTGCCTTGTAAATGGTGGTGTCCCTTTATTTTGGTGTTGAAAAAGCCATGTTTCAACTGGTTGCAAAACGTATCTTTTGAAAAGGAGCCCCCCAAGAAAACAAATGCCAAAGGAGTCGCAATCAAAACCGATCGGTACTAAAATGGTCGTAATCCAAGAACCATGTACAGGATTAAGAAGGTGGATATCCGCAGCTATCTATGGTTGGGATCCTCCCTTACTGACCTTCATCTGCCCAGGTTTTGAGCACGTGGCTCAAAGGCACTTTACAAGGGGCCAGCGGGAAGTGAGCTACCTTTTCAGCTACGAATAGGGCTTTGGTCCCTTTGGTACCAACTAACTTATGCCCCCACCCCACCAACCCACCCAACCCTCCACCAACCAAGCAGTCACCGCAAGGCAAAACAGTGACGCGCCACATCTCATCCTAGTGAACGATTGGAACCAACCATAAGTGCAACACCGTGAATGGACATAATCCACGTCCACCCTGGGTGGTAAACGTCCCAGTATTCAAATCGGGTTTCGTGAGCCCAGCGGAACGTGGTGAATGCCACGCGAAAGGGTGCAAAAAGGCGGTTGTCACACTGTTGTCACTCTCACTTGTGGAAACTCGAGTGGATTGGCCAACACACAGACTCGGGAGCGAGCCTCAAAGCTCCAAAAGGGAAGTGTCGTCTGGATATGAGTATCATTGCATAAAGGCAAACAGCCCCAGACTTTGATAAGCCCCAGGAACAGTGAGCATACTGTGGATGGACAAAATCCATTCGCACCACTTTGCAACCATGGGAAACCATTGCTTGTTGGTACTCACAGGGTAGCCATCATTCCCGGGATTCTTAGGTGCGAAACCGAGTTTCGTCCATCCACAAAACTCCACTTGGCCATGGCTCTAGGGCCAACCATCAACTCGCCGGTCATGAAGATGCGGCTCCCAAGAGTCGTTTCCCGCTGAAAATGGACTCAACAAGCTCCCTGTTGACGTGCTCTTGGATTCTTGGTGCGCGTCAAAGTCCGAAACCTGCCTCGTGTTTGCGGAACAAAACATCTTCGTGACACCCAACATTGGCCTCGCGCTACGACGTCGCACATCTTTCAAGGGGAGTCCCTTGGCTTCTGACCGAAAGTGGCCACCTCAAAACGAGGGAGCCCTTTTTCTCTTGCTGGTGCCCAGTGGGGAATGAGGGAATGACCCCTACAAACCATCCCTTGTGGCTTCCTTCAAGAGAATCCCAGAGTTCAGTCCCACATTCCCTGAGCACCAGCATTTTTTCTTGCAAAGGGAAACCAACAGGGAACTAACCCCAAAGACATGGAGGGCGTCCTTTTCAGACTCGCCCGAGCCCAGAGAGCCTCTGCCACATTGGCGTCTCGGATGGTTGGAGTAGTCGCCTTCACCGCAGCTTTCCGGCGCGCTACCTGGCCGGCACGGACGTGGCAGGGAAACGACTCGGATAGAAAGCGAAGAAACCCATGATTAGAGTTAGGCCCAGTTCTGGAATGTATGTTATTGTTTTCACTGCAAGGTCCTCCAGCGGAGGTTAGAATACGGGTACCCTTTTTTCTGTAGTCTATTTTAGTAGGGGAACCCTCCGCCAAAAAAGGGTAAAAGGGCAATACTGGAGGACCTTGACTGATAAAATGCAAAATGCATCCGAAACCTTCCCCAGAACAGTTCCGGTACGGCAGATGATCAACCAAAGGCCGAGTGTGCACCCCAGCGCAGATTGAGGAAATCGTGACTCGGAAGACCAAGCAACCAGTAACAGCAACTTGGAGATAGAAGCTCCAGGAAGATAACGGCGATGGTCGCTATAAGAGCTGTCTCTGGAACAACTGATTGACAAACGTTTCCTCAGACTCTGGTGGAAACTTGGGGTGGGGGGGCTTTGCAAGCTCCGAGACAATGTGATAACTGGTACTCCAGCGACCCCTGGGTTCATCTTTAGGAGGCGAATGTGAATCCAGCGGTCAGAGGAATTGATGCAAATCATGCGGTGATTGCTGGGCTGCCCTCGGATTCCCTGCTAGTGGGTTCAATGGAAACCCCCACTAAACCCTAAAAAGCTGAAAAGCTACGGGGATGGCTGGGAGCCACCAAGATTGCTGGAGCGGAGGGCAGCATGACTTTCGAAAGCCGGCTTCCTGCACATCCCGAAAGAAAGAACTCAATTGCACGCTTCATGCTACCCGTTTAGGGAACTATTGACCTAGCTGGCACAAGTCCAACCAAAACAACAAGCTGGGGCAGGCAGTTCAAACGCCACAGGGAACCACATCAACAACGAATCAGTAACAAAACAAATGACATCAAACAAAGACCAAGGTTTAGGCCACTTTCTGTGGAGCACCTGAAAGTGACAATGGTGCCACTTGGCTCGCGGAATTCCCGCCCGAGTGGCGAATGGGGTTTGCGCAGCCTTCGTCGAAACGAAATCGACTGGATGTGCTCACGAGTTACCAATGTGGATGTCTTAAAATAGAGAAATCCCAAAATGGTGGCTTTCCTTGTGGTTTCCCTGTAAACCAACCTAAAGAAGGGTACTATGCAACTCGAGCTTTGCCCGTTATAACCGTTATGATCTTTAAGCTTTTCTTGCTAGTTCCAGGTTCGATAAGCAGGGTTGAGGGACACACTCATTTCGAAACCTGCGAAAGGGGCACCAAAGGGTACCAACTTCAAAAAAGGGGCACAAACCTAAAAAGAAAAAGAAAAAGGGCACCAACTTGTAGCAAAAAGGCACCAACGCAAAGAAAAGGGGTAATTTCCCCAACTCCAACACAAACAATACGTGCCAACACAGGCCTTCGCTTCGGGACCATTTCGACGCCTGCTCCAAAAAAGCGTGCCAACAACCACACACACACACACAAACTTCCTTTGGGACCATTTCGAGGTGAAAGGCGCATCCGTCCCAACACGTCCCCCCCCCCTTCCTTCCTTCAATACGATTCATTTTGCGAGGCCTGGAAGCTGCAGTAGACCTTGAGCCACAAGCTCCCCCCCAGCACCAGCAGCCCCAGCAGCTGCAGCCAGCTCAGCGCCCCCGGGTCCAGCGCATAGGACCCGAAGATGGTGAGCACCTGGAATCGGAGTCGATTCGGCTCCGGGAAATCGGAGGACACCGGAGGAAACTGTAGGACAATGCAGGAAACCGCAGGAAAATGCAAAGGAAAACGGAAGAAAACGCGGGAAACTGCGTGGGAAAACGCAGGAAAACGAAGGAAACCCTTGACCAGAGGAGTTTACCCAGACTCGGCGATCCAAGGGGACTCCCCCCTGTAGCGCGGTCTGGTACATTGTTTCCCTCGCACTTGAGGGAAACCATGAGACATGTGCAAAAGTGGCCGGTTCCGTAAATAAATGTGGACAAAAAAAACCTCCCCGCACACTAGTTGGAGGATGGAGATGGCACAAGGATCGAACTTTGGACATGGAAACAACCGAAACCAAAGGCTGGAAGCAAAACTCCGGCGCCTGCTCCAGTTGGCAGACGGTTTGTCCCATTTCATAAGGTTTCATCCATGTCACTTGGTGCGAAGTGCATTTTGTCCACAGTATTCTCTTTCAGTCACGGGGTTGCTCCCAGGACTCTGGAAGAGTAGATATTTGATACGTGAAAGAAACCAACAAACCTCCCGTCAGGTGTTAAGACTGTCGCAGTGGCCAGCAGTAGTTCAGGACCTGTCCGCCAGAGGAACCGCCCTGACAAATGTTGGGATCCTTGTGGGTCCCTGTTTTAGTGGGGAACCTTTGCTTCCAGGGGGACGCCCCTGATTAATAGCTGCGGGGTGTATTTATCAGGGGTTAACATTAAATTGCGACAACCACCAAACTTCTAGGGGGTCGAGTCCTCTTCCATTAATTTCCACCATCGTTCTTCTCAATACCCAGCTGCTTTTCCAAATGGTGGGGGTGCCTTTGTGCAGAAAAGGGCAACATAACGACAATGGGATGGTAGGGCGAACCAACCAGGTCAAGCCACAAAACCCTAGCCCTGAAATGCACGGGGCAATAGCCCTCCCCCCAAAGTGGATTTCTTTGTTCCTTTTGTCTGTTTAGTGACCCTCTTTTTGGGGAAGACCATTCTAGTGGGGCAGCCACCAAAAAAACGAAAAAAAGGGTGCCACTGAACAAAACCCAGAAAGGGTACCCTCAACATGCGACACGCCCTGGCTGAGAAACCACTGACGCCATGCGCCGGGGCCCGGGGCCCCGCGCCTGGCGCGCGTTCATGGCCGCGGCCAGGGCGAGCGCGCCAAAGTCATGGACCATCCTCGGCGCCCGTTTTGCGCGGGGTGCCCCGGAGTGGGGGGGGAAGGGTTGGCAGGGGCAGGGAACGGGCAGCAAAGAGCAACGTAATCTGAAGTATGCAAAAGCTTCCCACATGGACATCTGACGAATGGGATAGGACTTCGATGAAAATTCCAAAGCCCGCGGGGCTCGGGGGGGAATTTTGGCTGTCTAAAGAAAAACAACACCTAGGCCTTTGAATCCTCTGACGCCTTTTTGGTTCGGTCCGTCGCCCGGTGATACTTTCGAAAACAAAGCGACAGGTTTGCTGGGGAAATGTAGCCATTGTCATCTTCTGATTCAGAGGACCGTACAAATTGACCCTACAAATCACTACAGAAAGAACAAGAACCATCTCGAATTCGCATAAAGGCAACCCACAAAAACGGGGGGGGGGGGGGGCGGAGGAGATGCCTGTTGTTTCTTTCACAAAATTCGGGGGTCCACATTGATCTCAAACCCAAGCCCTGCCAGCCAAAAAAGGACCCATGCGAGCGTCGAGAAGATGTAGAACTGCCCGGCAGCAGCCGCCACAGACAGGCCCGCTACGTGCCAAATAAATGGCGGGTGCTGCAGGATGAAGGAGAAACCTCGGTCCATGGCCATTTGACTGGACAATTATCCCCTGTACCTTTTCCCCTGTACCTTTGCAACCCCCTTCTTTTCAGCCAAATCAGACCCCAATGACACATTCATGGAACTACTTTGGGCAACATTTAACAATGTGGCCTGAGCGGATGGGCTAAAAAAAATCCAAACTTTTTATTTACCACCAAAAAGGGCCGTCCCAAAAAGCATAACATCCAGGAACTCAGAATTGAGTAGCTATGTGTCAAAGCTTGAAGGCCAAGGTAGGCTCGCCTTCTCATCGAGTCCCAAATCGATTCCGGAAGCTTCCAGCGAAAACATGAGCCCGAAGCATTCGACTGGGGATTTGAGCGGTTGTTGTTGCACACAGCCGTCACATGGTCAGATCAGATATATATTGCGATCCTAAGTATGGCCTTTGAGTTGTGCCGTTTTGGGGGAGCAACCCATCGTGGCTGCTTTTGAAGGGAAACCATCTCCGGGGTTGCCACAAGAAGAGACAAATCCATGTCAATGTTGGCAATGACTCTTGGCCAAAATTCTCGAAAGAGGGGCTGCGCAATCAATTTTCGGAAGGCTTTTGATCCCACCAAAAGTAGACCGACACTGTCCATCATACAGTGACTCATGTGCCCCTGTACACATCACCCCACCAGAGGAAACTCGTTTTACACGAAGTCCAAATGGCAACTCTTGAACCACCAGCAAGGGCCAACCTCCTCAGAAGTCCTTTCAAGGAAACCTGGGCACCAAGAAGTTGGCGTGACCATTATTACAAACCACAACAAAGGAAAAAAAACACACACTCTGCAAATCACTGGGGGCATGTGTCAAAATAGGAATCGGAGCCCGTGGCCGGCTTCCCTTTCTGGCCCAAAGTCACACCAGCTCTCCTAGGTCCTCCAGTAGAGAGGGTTAGAATAAGCGTACCCAATCTGTTTTTTTTCTGTAGTGTATTTTAGTAGGGGAACCGAATCTCCCCCAAAAAAGGGGTTAAAAAGGGCACCTAGCTGGGGGACCTAGTCTCAACCCAAGTCCCCCCCCTTTCCCCCGCCAACCACATCGACGCTCCCAAGCCCGAGTCGCAGTAGGCGAAGGAATGGAAGCACCAGAGCACCGTGGCGGAGACCACCGCGGAGCTCATGTTCATGTAGAGCCTCAAAAAGGGGGAAGTTGCTTTTTCTTCTTTTAGAACCTTGCAAAGCTTCTTTTTAAACCTTGACGCTTTTGTCTTTTCTTTTTTAAACCTTGGATGGTTTTTTGCTTTAAAACCTTGTGTTACTCTTTTTTAACCTTAAAACAGTCGGCAAAGAGAGTCAAGGCTTGTCGATGCGACTCGGGGTGCCGACCTTTGGGGGGGGGGGGGCGGTTCAAACCAAAGGGACACCACCCAAATTCCTGTTGTAACAATCTCACAGATCAGCTTCCCTCGTGATTCGGCGGTTTGGAGGCTCATTGCGGGTGGCTTCCCGGCTTTTGAAAGAAGCCTTTAGGGTGAAGAAAAAGAGAGCGGGAAACCAAATGACGAGTTGACCATTGGGCATGTCTCAAAATAGCCCTCAAAAAACACACACACAAGTAGACATCAGTGGTTTTAACGACACCCTGTTCGACACCAAGGGAGTCTTGGAGCCCCTTTTGGTTTGCTACATGGGCGTCGGACCCCAAAAAGCGGTAATCCTCCTGCTGGCTTCCCTTTTAAACCCGCCCCAAAAATAGCTACCCTCACGACACCCAAGAGGCCGAAAAGGCCACAACCCATTCGGTTGAAAGTCACGCGTCCCCTTCAAGAGGATTCCTGCATAAACAGCGTGGAACCCATCCACAGAACCGATACAGCAAGCATCCATCCGACCCTGCGGGCACCTCGATGCTGCACCAAGATGGAGCAAGGAGCAACAGGCCCCTCAAAAGCACATGTAGGCTATCGAGGGTAGAGAAGTTGACATGTCGCGGGGGAATGTTGCAGCCAACCTGTTCCTAGCGGACCACAAAAGATGCCGTCCTCAAAAAAAATACTTAAAAAAAGACCTGCTTTGCATAATTTGGCTTGCAACTTGATTTGCATCAATTGGCTTGCAACTTGAGTTGCAAAAATTGACAAAGGGTTCCAACTTGATTGCAACTGTTGGAAGCAGTCGAAAGATAGACCCTGAGTCTTCGAGAGACGGCCCAAGTTGAACAAGGCAAAGCCTTCGCTTTGCTCTGAGGACCTACAAATATTATCATGGAACCCAAAAAAAAGGGCCCCCAAAAAGGGTCGCCTCTAAAAAGGGCGGGTTGTTGGGTTCCGTGTGATCTGCAATCACCTGCCCAACACGGTCAAGTGGAAGACCAAAAAGTCAAAAGGCCGGTGTTGAACTGGACAAGCGAAAGACCAAAATAAAAGCCATCAGGAGTCAGCCCATATTGCTCAACCAAACATCGCAAGCCCTTTGCAGAGGCAACATGAAAGATCATAAAGACAAATCCAAGGACCCCTGTATATGCTTCGAACATCTCAACAACTAATTAGGCGTGCAGCAACAGACGCGAAATCATCGCCTGGTTGATTGCCACATGCCCACCGAGAAAGCCACAGGATTGCCCTCTAGGCCTAGTGTTGCCAAACCAAAACGTTCACGCACGTGCCCGTGGCTTAGAAACAGGCGAAAGGGTTTTTGCGAGGTTCGGCGGCCTTGCTACTCCGTTGCCTGGCTCCAAAGACCCGATCGCCACAGCGCACGCGCGCCCCAAGCCCAATGCTCTACCCTTGCCCTTGCCTTGAGGTTCAGAGCAACCCTGTGTGTGTTGCTGCGGTGAAAGGAAATCAGTGGCAAAACTGAACACGAAGACCGTGACCAGAGCCACAGACTCAAGCGGGTGTTTAAGATTGCAATCTGGCTGCTACTGTGGATGGATCAAATCTGTTGGCAGGTTGTTTGTTCTAGAATGTACCTTCCATCCACATTCCGGGCGCATCTGGTTGTACTTGGACATCTTGTCCTGCCAGAACAGCTTCTCCTGCCAGGCCGTGCCGCAAAATCTGGGGATGGATCCGACCCCCTGCAAGAAGTCGATTGACTCTTTGCTCGCAACGGAAAATGAAGGAAACCCAGAGCCAAAGGGCAAACAAGATAAGTATTATGTCCAAGTCCGGAAATGAAATGTGGTCGCGCCCCTCCCAACCGGCTTTCCTTGCTACTCTGAGTCATCATCACAGTACCGCAATCGTCAAATCCCCAGAAGCTATGGATAGAGAAATCAAACAGTGTCCCTCGTTGCAAGGTGTTGGCAGTGCTCGGGGCCTCAAATACTTACCTGTACCCACCAGGGATCTGCTAATTGGGTGTCAGGTTGTTTGAAGCCACCCCTGTTTTGGTTGCTTTAAAGGGAAACCGAAAGGAGCACCGAAAGCCATTTTGGGGGGGTCCCCCAACCCAAAAGAAAGACACACCAAACAAATATCAGCCCAGCAAGGGGCTGACTCACTGCGATTTGGCCTTTCAAAAGGCGATGCCTTTTGCGGTAGGGAAAGTGACTTAGAATCCGCTCCAGGCACCAGTTGGGATAGATGCAAGACCGGGCTGCCCTCAGATCCCCTGCTAAAAGTCTAACGTTTAGTGGGCAAAATGGAAACCCCCACTAAAAAATGAAAAGCTGAAAAGTTGAGGGGATGGCTGGGAGCCACCAAGAAACCTTCAACAAAAAACCACCAGTTCCAACTGGGGCCTTTTGCAAATTTTGTCTATCCACAGTATGGGGGTGTCCTTTTGATGGTAGCGTGTATGTTTTTTAAAGGAACAACATGGGTATGGGACAAAATCAAACCGCCAGGAAATGGGTCATCCGCAGGTTAAATCGTCCATGTTTCCATTTACTTTGGGGTTACCCTACTTTTTGACAGCCACAGCCACATGAACAACCAAAAAAGTCCAAAGTCCTCCGAGCATCTTTCTTTTTTTTCGGGTGCGATCGCATTTAGACGAGGTCATCAAACGGCACCCGAGGAAACCCAAGTAAACGCCTGGTTGATCAATAGTGGGTTGTCCTTGCGAGGCCTTCCCTTTTCGGAACCAACCACCCCCCCCCCCCGCCCGGTTAGGGACTCTGGAATTTGCTGCCGGGGCATTTTGGACAGTCTTTGCCGCCGTCTGCCCACAAGAGGCAAGGCCGGTAAGAACGAAGCAAGCGAAACATCTTTGGCAGCATTGGGAAGACTACTCGTGCAGTTTGCTTGATTTTTGTGGCTGTGGGGGTGCTGCTGTTGCTGCTGATGGCATTGCGTGCGCTTGACAGGGTGGGGCCACAAAAAACAATTTGTTAGACCCTAGCAAGTGTATTTCGTCAAGAACATCAACAAGTTGATTCTGTGAGGCCTTGCCTGCTCAGGAACAAGCGAGAAAAGCCGAACCCCATCGCAACGAGAAGCAATACCGGCAGTGAATCGCACCGTTTCGCAACGAAACAGTTTCAATTCCAAGCGATATGAATCGATGCGAACCAAAAGAAAATGAATCGTATCGCATCGAGTTTGTTACAACCATGTTCACAAGGGGTTGGTCCAAATGGGGTTTAAGAACCACTTAGCTCCTTCGCCAAAGCGGGACCTCTCACAGGGGGGGGGGTTGTGCTTTTTGAGGCTCGGGACCCTTTTCTTGGTGCTAGCCCTTTCACTTTGACCCAAGGACCTGAACTCGATTGTTTAAGTCGATGGGAATACCAAAATGGAACACTGGGACCTCTGACTGGGGGCCCCCCATTCTGGTAACCACCAATTGCTGACCCATGGTATTCCCTTTGAACCACCCCGCCCCCCGTTTGAACAAAAATAAGGAGAGACAAAAAAAGAACGGTAAATGGCAGCCCGGTTTTGCATCTATCCCAACTGGTGCCTGGAGCGGATTCATTTCTTAGTGGGGGTTTCCATTTGACCCCCTAAGCGTTACAAATTTAGGCGGGGGAGTTCACCTTTTGGTCCCGCGTCCTGGAAGTTGGAGGTGAAGCCATCGAAGCCCAGGAAGGCCAGCAGCAGGCCGAGCCCGTAGTAGGAGGACCCTTCCGCGTGCTCACTGCTGATGGAGCCCCCCACCACGAACAAGGTGATGCCTAACGTCAGGAACCTGCGGTGTTCGAAGCGAAGCGATGCGATGCGATGTCTAGGGTTCTGATCCAAACGTTTGGTTTAAGCCACCCAAACAAAGGAAGCATACTGCGACTCTCGCCATGGAACACTGGGCGTTAATATGGGTTAGATTGACCCAGAGTTGTGCAAACAAGTGGTGCATGCAACAACCGATTGCTTTGAGCGCTTCCTTCTTGGTCGGAAATCAAAGTGGACCCCTCTAATTGTGCAGGAATCCTCTTTGCGAGGGTTCGACTTTGTTTCAGCCAGAAGGGTGTTGACGATCTGTGTCTTTCACCACAAAGAGACCCCGTTTAAGGGATCGGATCCCTTGATTTTCAGCCGAGAAGAGGGGTTAAAGGAAAAGTCCTGCGTGTTCAATCAAGAAGCAAGCAAGCAAGCTAGCTAGTGAGCTAGCTAGCAAGAACAAACAAACAAGCAAGCAAACAAACACGCACGCGCGCACGCGCGCACGCACGCGCGCGCGTGTGCGCTTGCTTCAAGGCGAAGCAGCAAAACCACCATGAACTCCCGGGCCGGCGGCCTGGCGCAAGGCAGGGTGCCGGATCCGTCTGGCCAAAGCTTTGCAGGTGACTCTTCCAATGTTCACGGGGCGTACTGTACATGTAGACCTGTGTGAGAGTTCTGGCAACTTCCCCGTCCCTTCCAAAAAATCCTTTCCAAACGCAAAAATCCCAACTGATAAGCTGTGTAACAAAGAACCCTCGCTTGCCCGCAATGGGCGTCAAATGCGGGATTCAGTTGAAAACCAGGAACCGTCATGGGTGGAATCAGTCGGGATTGGCTGGGATGGGCTTCAAGGTCAGGAATACCATTCATTTTCCGCGTACACTTCAGAGGACCTGCATAGGCCAGGCAGTGGTCATTCTGCATGGTGATTTAGCATGTTGCCCCTTCAAGAGAAACATGCTGTGCAAGAGACATGCTGTAAACTCAAGGGCGGCACCCACTGCACTTTTCAGCATCATTGCCACCATCATTGCCACACATGCATGTTCCGGAATCTGCGTTCACATCACCCTCCATAAACTATGTGCATTTTCTCTGGACCCTAAATCACCAATATCTTCCGATCTTGGCGGTGCCGCGTGGCAGCACTTACTTGGCTTCCCGACCCCTGGGATGCTAAGAACAAACAATCTGTTCATTGCAGTCCCACTAAGCAGGGAGACCAGCCAAACTGCAACAGGCTCAAACAAAAAGTCAAGGAACGGTGAAGCTGGCCTGGGCTGCTGCACGCAACGCGTACGGTTTCGATGCACATGTTTACAAACATTAAATGTAAGAACGGACCCCGTGGCCGAAGCCTGGGGTGAATCCTACCTGTTGTCAAAACCGGTGGCTCATGGAAATGCTAAATGTGTGAGTATAGAGCCTCTGGAATTTAAGTTGCCTTACCATGCAAATTCCCATGGAACCGCCTTATTAGGGATCCTCGAACACATGTACCCCGACAATGTTTTATCGGAAGGCCCTCCCAAAAGGTTCCTGGGCCATGGAATCCCCCGAAGCTACGATGTGCCCGGCCTTTTGTTGGAGACGACCACTCCAATCAGCATCACCGGAAGCATCTTAAAAGTCTTGGCCATGGTCTGCAGGATCAGAGACACGTAGCGCAGGGACTCATATTGACACCAGGTGCTCAGCATATTGGAGAAGGACACCACCACGTACTTCCAGACTGGAGCCTGAAAAACCCATCAGTTCGCTCAGCCTTGTCAGTGGGAAGACTAGCACTTCATGGACAGCCTGATTGAATAGTGGGATCCTCCAAAGCTGGAAAACGTGCTGCTATATTCATGGCCAACCTGTACCCTTTGACAAGCGCAGGGTTCCCCCATATTTCCCCGTCAGACATCACGCCACCAAAAAAGACACTCACTTTGAACTGATGCTCAAAATAATCCTTCAAGAGCCTTGTCTCAAGGTACCTGCGTCGGGTACTAAACAAATTCCGGATCCTCCGTGAGGCATGCTTCTCCCGCCTGGATCTTCCAGCTCTCGCCCAAGCAGAACATCATGCACAGGGCGTAGACGATGGACACCAAGCGATTGCAGAGCACCAGGAACATGGTGGCCTCAGCTCGTCGGCATGACGGGGCTTGCAAAGGGAAACCACCTAGGACCTCCAGTAGAGAGGTTAGAATAAGGGTACCCTTTTTCTGTAGCCTGTTTTGTAGGGGAACTCTCCACAAAAAAAGGGTAAGAGGGTACCTAGCCACTGCGGGTCCCCGTTGTTTTTTGTTTTTTTTGTCTCGCACATTCTCAGATGAATTTGGAAACATACTTGGGTTCCGTCTGTCCCCAGCCAAAATGGAGTGTGGCTCTGGGCAAATCCTGATTCGATACTGTGGATGGACAAAATTCTGCGCCACCTAAGAAACCCTGGAATGGCGATTCCCCAGGCCCTGTAAATACCAACCAACAATGGTTTGCCATGATTGATTCTTAGGTGGAGGGAAATGGATTTCGTCCGCGAACCGAAGAAGACCACCCCAGGAAACTTCTTCCTGGGGCAGAGCTCGTTTACCCCCACATCGGTGAGCTGGAAAAGACCATTGCTCGGATGGCAGCGGCGTGCAAATGGAAGGAGCATGAAGAATAAGTCTAAATCACAAACTCACTTCGTCAAAGGACCTGGAATCAAAAGGCCAAGCATTTGGGACCTTGACTAAACATGAAACTAAACCTTTCATTTGGGACCTGAACTGTGTTGTTGGTTTCTCACCTTTCCTCTCTTCTGGGACCTTAAAGGCCTTAAAGTATTGAAAATGAGAGAAGTACTGGAAACCAACAAGTCGAGAGGGCTATTCGCTTCGGTGAGTGAGCACTCTCGTGGGGGGCTTATGTCAAACTGCACAAGAGGGCACCCAATAGAAGGGTCCAAGCCAAATGAGATAACCAAATTTAGCCAAAATTATGAGCAAACCATTAGAAATAGTGTTTGTTAGGCCCAGGATTTGGTCCATCCACAGCATCTCAAGATGTGGATCTGGAAACAAAACTGGGGTGGGTCCCACCCTTCTGATTGGAAAAGACCACACTTGGCCAAGGCAACGGTTGCGACGGACTATGCCAAACAAGAACAGGATGGAGATGAAGCTGTCGCTAAGTGGGACGCTTTCGGAGACCAGACGATAATGGTTACACAGTTACACCTTTTGACCCTTAAACTGCCCGGGCCAGCTCCCTTGAATTGAAGCACTGCCACAATGGTTTCCTTTGTTCGCATGCCCACTGGGCAACTGAAAACACACAAGCAAAACAAGTCTGGCAGGGTTTCTGTTCAAGAGGAACCCCTCGTCTCAGCAATTGAAGTTTACCTCTAAGTCTCTCCCAATTGTCAGCTCAAATATGCTATTGTCAAAACGATATATGCGCCCATTGGTTCCCTTAATAGGAACAGTGCAACCAGATATCAAATCCGCCGACATTGCTCGGCGTGTCGGATACTTACTAGAGGATAGAGGATAACCCCCCCCCTAACCCCCCCCCGCCCGACGTCTATTACGTAGGTTTTTTGGGGGGGGGGTCCCCCACGTACCGCGCGGCAATTTGATGACGTTCCACTAAACGTAGTCTTCGGGGAGCCGGTGTCGCAAAACAGGGGTCCCAGGCTCGATTCCCCCTGCCGGCTTTTTTGCTGGCTTGGGCTTCCTGCATCCGTTTGCCGAAAATCTGGAAAAACTCAATGTTTTTGGACGTCCTCTTTGCGAAAACGCTGGAAAAACCGTGTTTTTTTTGCGGGAAATACATACATACATGCATGAATGCATGCATGCATACATACATACATACATGTCATACATACATTACACACAAACATACATACATACATACATGCATGCATACATACATACATACATACATACATGCATACATGCATTACATACATACCTACCTACCTACCGACATACATACATACATACATACATACATACATACATACATACATACATACATACATACATACATACATACATACATACATACATACATACATACATACATACATACATACATACATACATACATACATACATACACATACATACATACATACATACATACATACATACATACATACATACATACATACATACATACATACATACATACATACATACATACATACATACATACATACATACATACATACATACATACATACATTACATTACATTACATTACATTACATTACATTACATTACATTACATTACATTACATTACATTACATTACATTACATTACATTACATTACATTACATTACATTACATTACATTACATTACATTACATTACATTACATACATACATTACATTACATTACATTACATTACATTACATTACATACATTACATACATACATACATACATACATA